TACATATATATATATATATATATTTGTACATATATATATATATATATGGTATTCTATGTACAAAATGGTGCTGAAGATAGCATAATGTACCAAAAAATAAGTTAAAACTAACTATGTTAGCACAGGTTCCAGCACAGGTTCCAACTATGTTGTTGGAACTGGACATATAATTCTAAAATATTTCTAATCGTATAGACTTGAAATAAAACAAATAAGGTGTGTGTAGTTTTGTTACAGATTGCTGCTTAATTACAATTGTAATTACAATTGTAATTACATTTCAAGTGCAATATATATTGTGCACTAATTTAGCTTCTGTGAGGAGCAGAAGCAGTTTCTTCTTCTGTGAAGAAACAATAAAAAGCCAAAGAAATCTGTATTATGGTGGGTTTTTGTATTGTCACTAAATCTGTGCTATTTTAATTTTGATATATCACCATCACTAAAATTAGTATCTTTGTTTACAAAAAATGAAAAATATACCCACAGAGTCATCAGAAAAATGAGAAAAATGATTAAATGAAATTAATCTGTAGCTATCATCTACGGCAGTTATTGATCAATGGCTATAATAAGTGTTATGTGAATAATTGTGTTACTTTTACTTACTTTTTGTGCAAACATCCAATCAAACTATAAAGTCTCCTATCAACTGGACTGGACAAAATGAGAGGTTTTTTTCAACTTCAGCACACAATAAGTATTAAAATACTTATTATAGTATACCACCTTTAAACCATGAAAAAACTTGTATTTTCTAAAACAAGTTACCAAAGTTTCCAGACAAGATGAAATGCAAAATTTTAGTTTATATATTCAATTTCTTAAGATTCCAAAGAGGTTGTATATGCACAGACAGGATAATTTTTAATTGTAAGCTTTTTAAAAGATACTGTGCTTACCTGTTCACTGGAATAAAAGTCAGGCAATTTCTCTTTGACTGAAGCTTTTAAGGGAATTCTGCAAAGACCAGAAGATCTTTTTACAAGGTACAAGCTGCCTGGTTGTGGATGAATTATTTGATCTTGTTTCTTTGTAATTCTCATTTGTTGTAAATTTCTGGCATACTGAAGATATGTTGTCATTTTTGTTATGTCTGCCAAAGTATTAATGAAATCATAGCTATTTTAATTTAAATCAGAAAGTTCAAACTTGCCTAAGATAGCAACACTGAATTCTATTTAGTGCAGATCACATATGGACTATTTATGAACAAGAGATTATAAGAGACATATTGCCCTTATTTCAGCACCAACATTGTTAGTGAATAAGCTATTTCTGTAATTTTTACATATCTGAGTTAGTTTTGTAACAATGCATGTGTTTTAAAAAATCCATGGTAAAAAGATCCTTAATTAATAGGAGAGATATACTTGAGTAGTATTATAAATTTTCAAAGAGTAAATAAAATTGTATATAACTGAAATTCCCCAGTCTAGAGATGGCATTATATAAAAATTAGGAAAAGAAATTATAAGATTGTCAAGTCATAACAAATCATAACATTTGTGAATTTGCTATCTATAACTGTTGTGTATTTTCATAACTAGAAGTCTAATTGTTATTTTGTATACGGAAGATATCCAATTAGATTATAGTCAGCATTATTTCTATATTTGTTTCTTAAATGGTATTTTTTGTTATAATAAGAGTTTTAGACAATATATCTGACCTGGCAATAATTAATAAGTAGGAAAAAATGAAATTGTTCAGCTTAAACTCTGATTTTTAAAACAAAATTAAAGTACATGGTGTTAAAGATATTAGATGGGTATAAAACAGATCTCATATCTAACTTTCAAAGGTCTGCAACATAGAATATGTTCGACTGTATATTGAATTTTTATAGAAATTGTTACGAACATAATAAACATTGCATACATGCCAAAATAAAAACAAGAATGAGGTATCAAATGTACCTTGAACTATTTTATTACATCCAGAATCCAAAACTGATATTCGTGCAAAATTATCTTTTTCTGATTCAATGAAGGTTTTGTTAATTTCTTGTGTGTTATATTCTTCCATTTTGTTGATACTTTTGCAACTGAATGAGGAATGGTCTTTGACATTACTTATTTCACCTTCTGAAGTTCTTGATTTTATTTTAAAAGGAGGCACAAAGATCTTGGTAGTTTTTTTCCCTGAATAATGATTGTGTGTTTTGTTTTCCTCATTTACGATTATTCCAAACTGAGCCAATGACCTAACTGAAGACTGCTCTGAAAAACCACTGGACTTAGATCCTTTCATAACTTGTTGTGGAAAACTAAAATTTGGATTCAGTATTTTTTGTCGTTCATTTGCAGAACTGAAGGAATAAAAACATTTTTATAAGACTGAATGAAAGACTAACAAGAATTATTTTTATGTTCCCTCTAGGAAAGTCACTCAGTTAAGCTGCCATGTATTGCACACATACTTAATTTACTGGTAATTTACTTATATTAATACTGAATAATAATTTAGTAGTTTCCAGAATAATGTTACAAAGATTATCTAATGCAATTTTAAAAATAATACTGCTGTGCATTGCCCAATTTCCTTAGTTGAGATGAGTGGCTACATGACTATTAAATGAAATGAAAACCAATGATATTTGCTACCTTATTTATATTTTTGTGGCTTTATTATATCTTTTGATGGTTTACAAATTACAAATTATATAATTAGAATAAACTTCAATAAATCAAATGGAACTATGCTTCCTTGAATCACTTTTTCTACACTGATTTTGCTACTATTATCTAGAAAATTCAATCTAGTTAGCTAAGATTTTTCCAAAACTCTCAACTACTGCTTTAGATCATTGGGCAAAGTTTTGGACAAAGTATAAATAACTTACGTTAAGGAAAAATTAAACCTAAAATGAAATGACAGTCTACCCTTACCTAAATGAGCCACAGATGACAGGTTTTAAAGAGATCTTGTTGGATATTATTTTTCTGTCATTTATTATACCTAAATAAAAATAAGTTCTATGAATCAAATGACATTTAAAAGAATATGGATTTCTATATTTATGATAAAAATTAGTTTTAGCTGAGTTTTAAAAAATTATCCCATGAACATTTTTGGAAGAATTAAGTTTGTACTAATTTGAATAACATGTCAAGTATTGTATAACTTAATCACTACTATGCCTTCTGCAAATAACTGGATGTAGAATAACTGGTATGTGGATGTATAACTGCTTTCCACCAGCTTCCATTTATTGAGATAAGCTTTTAGAAAGGTGAGAACAATTATAGACTATTATTCTACAAGCAATAGCAAGATCCTTGGGGTTCCTAAGATAAGTTACTCTATGCCTGATATAATTGCAAAAAACTTTTAGACAAGTGAACATGGTTGTAGTTTTTTTTATTATGCCCGCTCTGGCACAATTATAAAATTAATCTGAATCACTGCTCACATATCTATATTAAAGACTGCATTTATTGCTATGGGAACATGGCTTTTCTCAGAGTTCTGGAATATAGCTTGTTCTTATATGCAAAGGATATATTTGATCACCAAAGAAAAGAAAATACCTCATCTCTTGTCTATACATGAAAAGTGTTCATCTGCCAAAGCTCTGTGATAGTGTAATAATATAATATGGAAATACTATTACCATCACAAAGATCACTCAATTTTGAATGAGTTGAAGTTTCTGAATGGATTTCAAAGGCTACCTCACACAAAGTAAATTACAGTAATCAAGCCGATAAGTAATAAAATCATATCTTTATCAGTATATCCTGTGCCAGAAAAGGTCACAAACTATACCAGCCAGAACTAGACCAAGTCCTCTTGGTCATGTTTTACACCTGCTCTTCAAGCAGCAGACCCTCAGAGTGCATATTATTTCTCTCTGGGAGACCACACTCCCACCAACTTTGAAATTCCTAATAAAATAAGAAATAAGTGATTCCAAAGAATATATTTATTACTGCTCAAATGTTCTGATAACTACATTGTATTTATTACTGCAGATTACAGAACATATTATCAAGCAACAACTCCAAGTCTTGGTGGGGGGGGGGGAGTGATGAGTTATGCGGGAAACTCTTAACAGCCTTTAGTTCTCCACTATTAATCAGAGATAAGATCCTACTTCTGAAGATGGGCTTTGGGAAATAGTGACTGCTGCAATTGTACTAGCTTCTTTTCTGCATAGCAGTTTCCCTAACCAGGCCTGTGGACAAACTGATGATGTTTTCTCAGACTTAGGTACTAATTGGGAGACTTCAATTTGTTATTGCTCAAATTATGAGGGTTTGGAATTTCACAGCTACCATGACAACGGTAATCCTTGGTCTGATTCATTCCATAGAGGTCACACAATGTTTTTTTTTTTAAATCTTAGAGTGTTTATTATGTTATCTGAAGGATAGTAACACCTGTCACCTGCTATAGTTAGATTACTCTCAAGATGGCCTGCAATTTTCTGGTACTATTCCCGCTCCCATAGCTGGGACCCCTGAATAGTCTGCCCATATGCCTAATGGACTCTTAGTTTTCAGAGCATTTGGGGATTTAAGGTTAAGGTTAAGATGGAAAGTTCAATTAAGGCTTTAGTCATCACTTGGAATGAGCAAGTAACAAGAACCCTGGATCAATCTTCACTTTTTACACAGTAGTCCCTCACTCAATATCCAAAACAAGAAAAATATGCAGGCATTATAAAACACACAAGAAAAGAAATGGAGCACCAATGAAGAAAATATGTATGCATCTTTGAGATGACTTACATAGACTGAAAAACAAAAATTACCATAAGGAGAAGATTTGAAAGGTGATCTACTGGATTTTTCGGATTGTTCAAATTCAGGCAGCAGTTTTCTTTTAATAGGAGGTTGTCCTGAAAAAGGTATGTCACTGAACATTTCAAAATGCATATTCAATAAATACAAATTTATATGGAACATTATTAAATCATGTTTGATGTAGCTAGCAGGGCTCTTTTTTGAAAACATGTGGTTTATTGTATTCATATTTTGGATTGATATATTATGTATCTTTATACTAGACAGCTAAATATTACTTTTTGAAATATTTGTAAATAATATATTTACAAATAAACCCAAGATCTAATTAACTCAGCTCCCGATGACTAGAGATACAACCTTCCATGTTTTTCCCCAGACATACAGCAGTGATTTGCCACTGTGTTTTTTAAAAATGTTTTTCAGTTTTCAGAAATTTCAGACTAAAAAGTAAAAAAAACCAGGAAGCAATAGAGGTAAAAAAAATCCATACAATTGTTAAAAATGGCAGATATAGTCACCAGAACCTGAATCATGGAGGAATATGAGAACTTTACACCACACATTCACAATTCTTCACATGAACATTTCTCATTATTCAAGAAAAATGTAGAATGACTAAAGAAAAAGGGTTGAGTTATTTGTAGGGGACACCTGCCAACTTTTTTCAGGATATTTTTCCTCTCAATGTGAGACCTGCTAATAGGATAAAAGCTGTAGAATATTTATAAGAACAGCTATTATTGCTATTATTCTACTCTTCTATCAATCTTCACTGCAACTCAAGTGAACGCTACACTGGCAACTCTTTGGCAATATAAATTTGAAACTGTGAAATAAGATTTTTCTTCACTGAAATCAATAATTGTGTAAAACACCAATCTGAGTTATTGGCAGTGTGCAGTATCTTAAATGAATTTTAAGGTTGAAGAAAGCAAAAAAGTACTTACCAAATGTGTTTTCTTTTTCCAGATGTCGTTTCCCACTTCTTGTACGTAACAGAGAATTATTAGCTGTCAAGATAGATTTTTGAATGTTTCTTTGTACTTCTGAATCAGTGAAATCGTCATCTTCTATGAAAGCTTTTGCACTTTCTGAAGCTTCTACATCTGAGTAATTATCTGAAGTTTGGGAATAAGCAGGACAAAAACAATCCAGATTCCCTTCTGAGGCATATTTAGTACTGACTCTGCTTTGGCATGGTTGTGTTATCTTCAAAGGTTCAGTTAATTCTTTTGAACATGAAAACCTTCTTTTGAATTCTGCTGGTTGCTTGTATTTCTCAGTAGAAGTGATGGACATAGGTATTTCAATATTTAGCAAGGATTTAATAGTTTTGTTTTCATTCAGATTTTCTCTGGTTTTGCATTTCTCCTTCAATTTAGATGACGAATTAGCTTCATGCTCCTGTTTAACTTTTGTAATGGGAGTTTTTATTGGAGAATTATGAGTTTGGTTTAAACTTTCATCAACGAAAAAATCACTTGCATTGATATCATCAAATTCTTTTAAAAGTCCCATAACATTTTGAAGAGCCTTGTGAGAAATCTTTACCTGTTTTCCACATGCTTTATTAAAATCACATGGAATGCCTGAATGTTCTTCTACATTTGGATTTTCCCCTCTTTGGGATATATGTAATTTATTTTCTCTGGGAAATATTTTTTTTCTGTTAGAATTCACAGTGTTATAATCATAATTGCAATCTGGGTCAGAATTCTGATAAACAGATAAATCAGATTCAATTTCAGAAAAAAGTAGGCTTGCTTTCTTTAGTGATTCTTTAGATAACTGAACAGGCTTACCACTTGCTGTGCTAAAAAACCCACAGTTGTCAGTAGAAAAGTCTGGTTTGCATTTCTTTTTGTTGGAAGTTCGAGTATCAGAACACGTATGCATTTCAATAAAGTCATTTGAAGCTTTACAATTTAATTCAGGAACAGTTTCCATTGATTTGGGTACAACACATGATAATGCTTGGGAGCTTTCACAAATTTTTTTGGTTACAGGAAATTGGGTCAGGCCTGAATATTCTGTTGGAATCTTCTCTACCCTCAAATAGCTGGAACCAATACAGTCCCTGCTACCACAAGCATCAGAAGAACTTCCAAAGGTGTTACCTTTATTTATTTCAGACTGAGATTCTAAGTTATTGAGGTTTTTATGAAGAAAGTGTTGGGCATTTTTTAATGCTTTCTGAGAAACATTAACAGTTTTACCACTTGCTGTGGTGAAACTAAAGGCAGCTGGTCTAGCTTTCAACTGTTTTGAAGGGGAGTCTTTTTCTCCATTAGTTGATGATTTCTCTAAGGTACTAATATCCAAGAAATGTGAGCTACACTTTGGTGTCATCCAATTTTCATTTTGACAGGTTTCTCCAGATATGTTGGCATTAGTTCCTGCATTAACATCTGACTCAGATGCATTCATGTTCTTCACTGTATGTATCTTATTACAGCTGAAATTGTCATCTGAAACAAAATTCTGATGACCTGATAAATTAGGTTCAATTTCAGAAAAAAATTGTCTTGCTTTATTCAGCGATTCTTTAGATAACTGAACAGGCTTGCCACTTGCCGTGCTAAAAAACATACATTTATTGGTAGAAAAATCTGATATGCAGTTTCCTTTGGTAGAAACCCAGGTATTAAAACACTTGCCCATTTCAAAACTTTTATCTGAAGTTTCACGATTTGTTTCAAAGACAGTGTCCACTACCATGGGCATAGCACATGGTAATGTTTGGGCAGTTCTACATAATTCTTTGGTTGTAGGAAACTGGGATACATCCAAATATCTCATCGGCATCTCCTCTACATTCAAGTAACCAGAAGTAATGCAGTTTTTACTGCCAAAAGCATCCAAAGAACTTCCCAACAAGTTACTGTAGTTTTTATGAAGAAATTGTTGGGCATTTTTTAATGCCTTTGGAGAAACTTTAACAGTTTTATCACTTGCAGTTTTGAAACTGAATGCAGGTGGATTAACTTTCGATTGTTTTGAAGTTGAGGTTCTCGCTTCATTAGTTGGATATTTCTGTAAGGTACCAGTATCCAGTAAATGTAAATCACATTTTGATGTCATCCAATCTTGATTTTTATATGCTTCTTTCAAAATACTGATTTTTTTCCCTCCATGAAAATATGATTCAGATGCATTTATGTTCAAGGCCAGTCCTTTAAAGATCAGTCCACTCTTTAAACCCTGTTTAACCATGTTTGACAGCACTCCCAAAGAATCTTCAAAATTATCTTTAGAATGTCCAATTTCTCTACATTTTTCACCTCCTTCTCCAAATGTAAAATTCTTTTTAACTGAATCTTCAACACTAAATTTTATAAGACTACCAGTATTGTTCATATTTCCACAGAGAGCTTCTTCTGAAAGAAGATGCCTAGCTTTAAGTAAAGATTTGTCAGTAAATGTAATTTGCTTACCACTAGCTGTATGAAAACCATCAGTTTGCTTTTCCCTGTTTTCAGAGACATTCTTATGGTTGCACCCCAAAAAAATTTCAGTCTGATTTAATTCTGTACTCTCATTCATAGAAGGGATAACTTGTTTATGTCTAGCATTTGTCTTCCTTTTGCAGTAGGACATATTATTTATCTCTTCCTGTATATCAGAACCTGTCAACAAATTAAGTCTCTTACTTTTTTCTGCAAATGTGTTCCCATCAGTAACAGTGTGAACGCTCTGTAGAAAATATTGTTTTTCAGGCTTATTTACTTTTTCCTCTTGTTCTGAAATAAAGCTTTCTTTTGCACCTGCATCATTCCAAGTATTATTTTTTTCAGTTTTAGCAACTTCAACTAAACATGTTAGATCAGACAAAGTTTCTGGGCAATTATTGTTACAGCAAGTTTTCCCACAATTTACAAAATGTAGGGATAAAGCATTTTGATTTTTAGTGGATAACAATTCATTTTCTGATATATGTACAGAATATTTTTGAATAATTTTCAAGTTTACTTCTGTGGTGCTAGTAATCTGGACAACACTATCTTTATGGCAGTCCACATCTTTTAACTTATTTTCTGTATTTTCTTTTACAAAAGCAATTGTTGTATCTTTTGTGGTACCTTGTATTATATATTCAGCGTTTCCTTTTTTGGCTTTCTGGGGCCAATCAATATCTATTTCTTTCATAGGCATATGCCAACTACTGCATTTGTTTGAACCATTCATTTTTATTTTATAGGAGTTCAATATTTCACCCATTCCTTTCTTATTGCTGGCTAATTCTGTACCTCTTCTTGTAATCTCATCTTTGTTCTTAACTGAACTATGATTTCCCAGATCAGACTGTAAAGGATCTGAAATAACTGGAACAAAACAATTATTTTCTTTTCTGTTTGATTCCAGCAATATAATGTGGTTGTTGCTTTGTCTGTCAGTATTACGTTCCCAAGTATCTATATGCTTAAAGGAGGACTGATTATCACCTGGATCGTCCACAAATCCCATATCTTTACAATTCTTAGAATTTAAACATTTTTTATCCAAACATCTAGTCTCGTTAGTGTTATTGTACATCATAGTCTTGTGTTTTCTAAACTGGGTAAATTCAAATTGACTGTCTGTTTCTTCCAATATATTAGAAAGTTCAGTAATTTCAGCTACTTGGCTTGCGGTTAAATTGTGTTTTTCTTCAGGGTGCTGATTTTTAAGAACATTTTGAACAGACTTATTGCCATATTCAGGTAAACCAATTTTCGTATCATCTGAGCGAATAAAATTTACCACAGAATCAGAAACATGTGAATTTAGTTCATTTTGTCCAACTGAAAAATTCTCAGCATTTTCCTGTTTATTTTGACTTGAAATAGCACTCTTTTCTTCATTCTGAAAGTCTTCAAGAAGTCGATCTTCTATATCTTTGAACAGTAATTTGCCTTTTCTGATTTTATCATCAGATAGCACTATCTGTTTATCAGATGCAGTCTTAAAACCTTTCTGGATTTTCCCAAGACAAAGACATTCTAACTCTCTCTGCTTATCACCAGGTGCGCCTTCTTTTAAACTTAGTAATGGAGACAGTTTTGTATCCATTTCTTGCTCCAACAGCATAGTTATAGATTTTGATGCTTTCGTTGAATGAATACCACTGTCTAAAAGTTGTGCCGTTAATTCCAAAGTTACTTGTTTATTTTCTGTTTCTGATACTTGCATTGGCATTGTACATGCTTCAATAAGTGCTTCTTGGGATGAATTATAATTTGTGAAATCAGTCTTTCTATCCACCAAAGTATTGCTGTGACAGATTTCATGGAATCCTTTTTCAGTTACCTCTGTTTGATAATTAGCAGCAAGATCTCTGGAAAACATTACAGCTTCTTTCTTCATATTATTTTTTAGAAGTAGTGCTGAACTATCACTAGTGTTATGTTCAATATTTGACTTGTTACTACCTTTAGTTTCATATAACATGTTAGTAGATGTATAGCATTTTTCAGAATCTATTTCTTTTCTTTCTTTTGTGGAATGATCAGCAGTTTCAATTTGTCCTGTAAGAAGTTGAATTACAACAGGGATGTGAGTTAAAATGGTATCAATATAAATACATTCTAAACTTCTGTAGTATAACATTGCACTAAAGTACTGTATTCTTCGGAATATAAGATGCACCTTTTTCCCCTCAAAAAAAAAAAAAGCTGAAAAGCTGGGTGAGTCTTATTCACTGAATACAACATTTTTTGCCTCCCGACCCCCCCGCCCCTTCACCAAAATGGCCGTGCATAGCTTGTAGGAGGCTTTCAGAGAGCTCCAGGGGGCTGGAGAGGGCAGAAATGATAAAAAACAAGCGTTTTTCTGCTCAAATTTGCCCCCCCTCCGGGGCACTCTACAAGCCTCCTAAGGGCTATTCAAAAAAGCACCTGGTTTCGTAAAAAACGGGCTGTTTTGAGGAAGTTTACGGAGTGCAAAAATTTTGTTTTTTAATTTGCTTCTTCAAAACTTTGGTGCATCTTATACTCTGAAAAATACAGTATTTTTTTCAGGATGTCAGCTGAGAAGCCACAACTTTTGCTTTATATCTGAATTGTAGATTTTTATTGCATATATGAAAAACCATTAGGTATTAAAGCATTTTTATGCATTTATATTTATAGAGAAGAGAATTCATTTATTTTTAAGGTATGTTATTTTTACTTACACTGACCAGCAGGAGGCAGTACATGATCAGTTTCATTCTATCTGAAATTGTCAATTACTAAGACCCCATACAAAGCTCTGTGGGCTGTGTATACCTGATAAGTCTCAAATAGAACAAAACAGGCCTCCCCGTAGTAAGTATCAGAAATTCCAGTATTTTTCTGTTTTTATAATTAACCACTCACTTATTTTATCTATCTGAAAATTCCTTCAGCAACATTTAATTAACATAAATACAGTATATTTTAGTAGACTTTTTCAATGCAGTAAACAGAAGTCCCAACAATGAACTGACATATATATGGAATTTTAAGACTTAAATTTTAGAAATTAATACACAAAGGAATATAAATATTGTACCTTCATTCTTGATTCGGATTTCAGAAAGTTCAGAGGTACCAGTTTCTAAATTTGTACATACTGGCACAAAACAAGTAAGAGATCCATCTCTCTGGGTGGTTCCTTTTTCCCGCTGAACTAGAGAATTGTTTAGAGCATATATGAATTTTTTGGGTCGCCTTTTCAAACTGGAAAGTGAGCTAATATTTTTCAAGCTTGATTTTGTGTGTTGTCTGCCATCACTAGCAGCTTGATTTGAAACTTGATGGCCTGAAGAATTTTTATCTTTTCTTGAGAAATCAGAGTGAATACTTTGGACTTCTGAGGATTCTGTTAAAGTTCTATTCATTAAGAAATAATTATTCTTTGAAAAATTTACAGAAGAAAACTCCTCATCCTCAGCATGTTTCAATGACACGGAATCATTCTTAATCAATAAAGGTGAGTTTTCGGAAATGGATAACTTTTCTGGAGAACTCATCTTACCACGTTGTATTACACATGGTGTGTTTAACATAGATGATTTTAATATTTTAGGACTACTGCATTTTTTTTCAATAGATGATGGACTACCTGGAGAAGTTTTCTTGACCTGTAAGGTAGAAGATGAACTAATGCTCTTTACGAACTTTTTTTCAAGCTGCGTTAGTTCAAAACCAGACAAGTCCAACTGAGACCACGGACAAAGCAAAGATGATGTCATATTCTCCTTTCTATTCACTGCATTCTGTATTTTTGGGACATTAGTATTCAAGTTACATTTAGAAGATTTTAACTTTCTTTCAAATTTTGTTTCATTAGAAGCCTTAATCATTTCATGTTCTTTTTCAAGTTTATCATGATTTTTTTCATAAAAAAGAGCTTTTTTATTCTCCTCAACCGAATTAATTTTTTTAAGAAAAACACTGCTGCTGGCAATGTTCAGAGAAAAATCACTCATTCCACCATGATTATCTTCATCCTTTGGTACATTTGATGGCTTTTGGGATCCTTGTAGCTCAACAGGAAATGCATTCTTATCAAAAGATTCATTTAAAAAACTTTCAAGAGCTGTAAATAATTGCAAAACAACATCATCAGAAGTAAAATTCCACTAAAGAAATTTGGTTACAAAAAATGACATGAGAATTCAATTATAAAATCTAGATAAAGGCTTAGGAAATATTAAAATACTTATTTGTACATGCAAATCCAATGTCCATTTGAAACTATCTGTCTGTAATGGTATGTGGGAATAATCTAAGGAAACAGGGCAACAAGACACAGCCAAGGGATCAGAAAAATAAATTATTCTGCAGCAGGAATGTGGGTGGGGCAAGAGGTTCAGAAATACTTTCAGATTTGCAAGAGTTTGTTAATGTAACTTTGCAACAAAACAGAATTAGTTCATCTGGTCATAGTATGTCTGGTCTACCTAGTAAGGCCAAAACTATCCAAAACATTATCAATTATAGTTCATTTAATTACTAGACAGAAATAAACAAATTACTAGACCACAAATAAACAAAAAAAAAGTACCCTAAACAACTATTTTGGCAAATATTTGTTTAATAAATATAATTCTTAAAGGAAAAGAAGCAAACTAAGAGTTATGAACCGCTAATAAAGGAAAAATGCTCACTGTGGATTTTGTTGTCCATTTCTGCATGTGAAATTTCAATTCCTGATGAAGATTGCCTATTAATATTATTGCTCTTGAGACTTTTTCCATGTTTGGAAAAAAGGCCACACATGGTCTAAAAACCAAAGCAATGAAAATTTAATTTATACACCTACATATAAGCTAAAAATTCTAATACCAAAAATGCATATTCTTTACTTACAATATCAATTATTTCATTATGAATCTTTGTTCCAGAAATTGAATCATTTCTTCTTTCTACAATTCAAACAATATATATTAGTAGTTATTTTATGACTCATTGATGGAAATCAATGTTTTATGTCAAACTTATATTTAATGAGCCTTTCTGAAAATTTTATTCCAAAGTACAAAACATATTTAATGAAATAAACTGAACAATGAAATATTCTAATAAAACTATTGGCACTTTTATTAAGCTTGAACAATGCAACCACTTGCAATGGCTGCAATGAACTAATTATATGATTCAACATATTTATCTCTTTTAGTTATCTTTCTTCAGATACTCCTTGAGTTATGACTGGTCATTTAGTGACTGTTTTAACTTACGACAAACCCCACACAACCCATAGTCACATAATTGCATTTTCGGTGCTTGGCAACTGGTTCACCACAGAATATTATTTGCAGCACCCCACAGTCACATGATTACAATTTTTTGATTATTTTTTTTTGCTAGTTTTACAATATTTAATTTCTGTTTCTAGCAAAAAAATACTGAAAAAATACTGATCCTGTGGTACCAACCTATGACCACAGTGACTTATGTTTGCAATTCTGGGCTCAACTATAGTTATAAGTCTACTTGTAGGAGATTTGTAATTATTCAACTTAACCACATTTTTAAGAATACATTTGATTTAATATTTATTTATACTCAGCCTTTCATTAAAAACTCAACTCACTGTAGTTCCTCCTATTTCTTTCTACAAAAGCTTTATTAAGTACGCTGAACTGAGATAGCTCCAAGTTATCCAGTAAGCAGTGGCTGATGATATAGTCAAATTGCATTTTTCCACTTCTTATCCTTCACAGTAACCAGTATGTCACACTGATTCTATTTCTACCTCTTTAATAATACCTCTTCATATTGAAAATGAAACAATTATATGGCTAATAATTATCAGCTAATTTCAAAAGAACAGTAATTTTAATATCAATGTTAACTACAATTGCAAAATGTTTTTATCTTGTAGTTACTCTGTATTTACTGTTCTTTATCCTCATATGTTTCAGTCATATCAGTGTTACCTTCATTACCTATTATGACAGTTGGAGAAAGTGTAGGTGGTGTTGCTAATGAACTTGTCCAAGACATATCAGGATCTGCTTCTGCTCCCAAGCTCTCAGAAATGCATTTCTGTGTCTGAACCTAAAATATAATGAACAACTGTTTAATCACAGACACACAAACATACATATAGCATTCTCATAATTAAAATATTTTAGAGTAAAATTACCTCAAAAATCTTGGGTGTTTGTAATAAACTTTCATTTAGTACTGAAAATATGAAAGAAGGTATTCTTAGAATGAGCATATATTTATAAACTAATACAACTTTCAGTGCAATAGATAAAAGACATTAATATTTACCATATTTATTTTTTTGTTTTTCTTGTATGACCGGACTGAAATATAAAGGGAAAGAGTAGTTATTTAAATCAAAAGCATCCTTAAACACAATTTTAATTTCTATAACTTCATAAAATATAATGAACAATGTTCATATATCCAGCGCATCTAAACAAAGTGCATTTTAAAGTAAATATGGATATCTGAGAGATCCTGATTCTATAGCACTAATGAAGCTAAGTACAGTGTTTAATTAGTTACTTTAATTTCTCCAAAAAGCAACAATAACTATTATATAATGATATTTTATATCATAGTTTGAGGGTAATTATTTTCTTATTTCTCTGCAGAAATACATTTACCTATCAGAATTTATCTTTAGGAAAATGTACATATCATAAGTATCACAGGGGTAAGTATCACAGGGGTATACTTCTTAGTTGGTGGGATACGGGCAATAGTATACTGGCTTGCAAAGAAATCTCTGGAGCACCTGCACTAAAGCAGTGAGGTAATATTAGGTTTTGATTGCACTTATTTTGATCAGAACATGTCCAAACTGATTAATACTGTTCTTGATAATGGTGAATGTGACATGGCTATGATTAAAATTAGTAACCTAGTGTAATTCTTTCCCATTCTACCAAACTGGTAGGTGAAAGCCTCAATTGTTCAAATCTGTGATCTAGAATACAGGGGTCCATGTGCATATGAAGACATAACATATGAATAAAAATGTATGTATAAGGGGTTCATAGGTTGAAATAGGGTGACCTGAATGAAGGTGAACTGAGATGATCTTGTAGAGTTAAGATAAATATATGTTGGGGAAATGAAGATGTAAATTTAATTATAAATGAAAAGACTAAAATGTATGTCACAAGGTATGAATCCATGACATCTAGACTGTTGTTGATGTGTATGAAAGTAGAAATTCAGTAATAGCTGTTACTATTCAACACACTGTGATTAAAAATGAGCAAGGATGTTTGCAAACAATTGTGGAACATTCTGAATGAAAACCTCTGTTTGGTAATGTAAATGAAATACAGATAGAATAGAATGTACAGAGTAATGCTAAGGAAGAGTATGCAAAAAGATGCTTGGTAGAATAAAAAGTAAAATCTGAAAATAGGTCCATATAGGAAGATTATTGTTTAAAAAAAAGGAAATATGTTGTATCAAGAGAATTAGGTAGTCAGGAAAAATATATATTTAAAGAAGATGAGAAAATTAAAATAAGCAGAAAAAATGCAGAATGATTTTGCTGGAAACATTTTTAATAAGAGAAAAACACTAAACAATATCCCCAGCAGAATGAAAACTATTAAAAATAAAAGTATTGAAATTGTTTTGGGTGAAATTAATAGTGGAATATAAGAATATGTTTCTGCCCTTTTTGTTGGATGAAGAGGAAAAAGCAGAAAATTAAGTTGGAACTGGTATGATTCTTAGAAATGGCTAGGCTATTTATTATGCTTCCAGAAAATGTATCCACATCAATGTCATTACACTCATTTCAATATACCAAATAATTAAACAGCTAAAGTCTGATGCACTTGTTGACATGTTGAGTTAATCTGGTATAGCAGTGAGCCAATTAGCTAGTTTGGTTGGTTAAAGGTGTCAGACTAGAAACCAAGAGACTGAATTTTAGTCTTTCCTCAAATGCAAAGCCAGCTGAGTGATTTTTAGCCAATCAGCCCTAAAAGGCAACAAATGTTTCCAAGAAATCATCATGGATATGCCCAAACATTATGATATCACTTTGATTCAAAAGACAAATTTAGCTGTAACAATGGAATTCTTTTTTGTGTTGCTATAGAAAGATCTATATCTGCATCAGCATCCATCGATAAATAAATAAGATGCACCTTGCAATCACACAGGAACGAGAAAGATTCATTCCTTCATTTGATTCATCCACTTGTGTTCTCAGCCTAGGCATTTCACTGAAAGTTTTACCTGTATCAAAGAAATGTAAGCAAAAAAAAAAACTTTCACTACTAGATAAATCAATTTTTTCTCTACATTTGTCTAATTAAATCTTGAAGGCTACAGGAAGTAAGTTTGTTACTTAATCATTTTTTTAACCATTTAAACAGTTTTTAGTCCCTTTTAACAATTAAATCAATTTAGTATGCGTACAGGATCTAGTAATCCAGGATCTAGTTCAGCCAAAAATGAAGAGTTATTCCTTCGCCTTAAGGCTTTTGAAATTTTAGCTATGTAAATTCATGGCATTCTTGAGAATAAAAACTGCTTATAGAAATGAGATCCTGTCACAAATATTATGTGTATGTTGTAATTTGTTTTTAGTCTTTGACCATAAAATATAATAATTTTTTAACCAGAAATAGTAAAACCCATTTGGTTAACTAAAATTTACAAATTTATGAGAAAAAGTACTAAAGTTAAACATTTGATAGTAATATTACTAGATTTTATTTATTTATAAAATTTATAGGCCATCCATCCTACTTCAAGTTAATCTCCATCTAGATCAGTAATGGCTAATCTTTTTCTAAAGGTGTGCCAAAATTGTGCACGCGTATGACCTCCCCCCTTCCTGCGCATGCATGCACAACCCCCTTCCTGAAGCCTAGGAAGGGCGCAAACGGCCGCCCCTGCCCTCCGGAAGGCCGAAAATCAGCTGGAGCTGAGGGCTGTCATGCCGGCAAATATGGCTCCACCATAGGTTCGCCATCACGGATTTAGGTTCTCTTTCCCTTTAAGGTATCAAAATAGTAAACACTGGGATCTCTATTCTTTTTATTTATCCTCCAAACTCCACTCTTATGGGTTAGGTTCACTTGAAAAATAGTAATTGAATGAGTTAAGTGAACTGTACAGAGGGAATGGGATTTAAATATGGGTCTACCCAGTCAGTACCAGTCATTAGTTGCACATTGGCTTGATTACCCTAAATTTGCTGTCAATTCCTTCCTATTGGTGGGAATTACCATTTTTAGTAACTTAAAGAATTCAGAGAACATAAGACATTAAATCTATGAAACATAATTTACAGAGATTTTGCAGATCTATATTTTAAATAAAGTGAGTGAATATAAAAGATAAAGGTAAATATTTTCTTGTGCAGTCGTGTCTGATGCTAGGGCAAGATACTCACCTGTTTCTTGGCCAAGGGAGCCAGCTTTTTCCTAAGACATTTTCTGTGGTTATGTGGCCAGCATGGCTATATGGCATGGGCGCACGGAGCACTGTTACCTTCTCACTGAACTGGTGCCTATTAATCTACTCGCATTTGCATGCTTTTGAACTGTTAGATGAGTAGGAGGTGGGACAGGAACAGGAACTCACCCTGTGGTGTGATGCTCATGTTAACCCAGGCTGTCAGCTTTCCAGTTGACAAGCTCAGCATCTTTAACTAAGCCATTTCTCCCCAAGTGAATAGTAATGATTAATAAAACATATGAAGATTCTAAAGATACAGATGCTAAATATCATTTAATAAACCATTACAATAGATTGAAAATGCTTCAGAAATTAAAATTGAGTACTAATTAGGGATATGGGACATTTAGTGTTCCATTTTCTCCTGACTATGCCATTCCAAGCACAATTGCAATTTACAGAAGTCCTTTGAACCAATGTTCCAGATGTGGTATTCTAGAGGATCTGGATTATCCCTGTCACTATTGTGTTTCATAGCCAGACTGCCCCTGAAATAACTCAATGTTTCTTAGTTCAAAGGATTTTTGAAATTATCAACCACTGTAAAAAGAGAAAGGTTTTGAAGAAAACAAAAATGCTCTGTTCCTATACCAATTAATCTTGCCTTCAAGATACAAGCAAAAGTTGAAATATAGATTACGAATACATACTAAACAATTTATATCCAAGATGAAATCTGGTCTATACACTATACAGCGATGGCGAACCTTATTTGCTTGCGTGCCATACGGGGAGAAGCGCAGGGGATCGTGCACAGGCATCCTGCACCTATAATGCAACGCTTGACCCCTCCAATGCACATGAGAGGCGCTCCCCCCCATTTTTTGCATGCTTTTTTCACCCTCCCCAGGCTCCAGAGGCTTTATAGAAGCCTGGGGAAGGCGAAAACAGCCTCCCCCGTCCCCCCGGAGGCTTCAGGGATCTTCAGGCGGCTTGTGGAGGGCATAAAACCAGAAGTCACTTTCAGTTTGCTCGTAGGTTGGTTTAAACCCTCCGGAGGCTTCAGGGACCTTTAGGAGGCTTCCCTGAAGCCTCCGGAGGACTATAAAGAACCCTATGAGCAAACCGGAACTTCAGGGAAGCCTCCTGAAGGTCCCTGAAGCCTCCAGAGGGTTTAAACCGACCCTACAAGCAAACCAGAAGTCCGTTACTGAACTTCTGGTTTGCCCATAGGGCTGTTTTTTTGCGCTCCGGAGGCTTCGGGGAAGCTCCTGAAGCCTCCAGAGAGCCTCTTGGGGGGGGGAGCTCTTTTCGCCCTCCCCAGGCTCCTATAAAGCCTCTGGAGCCTGAGGAGGGCGAAAATGGCTTTAAAAAAAGCTGAACTCAACTTTTTTGCATGCCCGGACAAATGGCTCCGCATGCCACCTGTGGCACGCGTACCATAGGTTCGCTATCTCGGCACTATAAATTCAGAAGTGGCTGAAATTGTCTTCTATTCTATTGTTTCATGCTTTTATGGAAATGGGGTGAAAGGTGTTCTTTTATAATCATCAACCCAATATTCCTATTTTATACAACACAATGTTTGAACTGACACCTAATATCCCCCAAATTAGTCACTTTTCTAGTTGTGGACCTTTATGTAGCCAGAAAAGTACAATTTCCACAGAAGCGGTATCTGCATTGTAACATTTCATTTTCATACTACATCCATTTTGTAAATGCTTTACGTACAAAAAAGTTTACAATTTTGGTTACATATTATTTCTTATCTTACCTGTTTCTTCACTGGACTGAGCTGATTTTTCTACAGGAGAAGTAGATGTTTTTAAATTTTTATTCCGGTCTTTAAAAATCATGGGAGTTGATACTGATGAGTTATTCATAGACAATTTCCCTTTTGGGGTTTTGAAAGTATTTTGATCCATAGTTTTGTATAAAGGGTCTTCTGTTATTTTCACATCAAAAGGTGGAGCTTCTGAACTGAGTTCTTCAAACCAATTGAGACTTATTGGTCCTAGGTCTAACAAAAGCAGTCAATACATTATTTAATGTATGTTTCAAGTTATTACTTTAACATTAATTAAACATAAATAGTTATTGATTATTACTACAGATTAATAATTGGTTCCATTAAATTACTAAATATTAATTTCATCAGAAAATAAGAAGTAAGATTATTTTGCAGGATCTAATCTGAGTCGGCCACTGGGACCAGAGGTTTTGTCTTCTGAACTTTCAGACTCATGATGGAGCCCATCCTCAGAGAGAAATACTCTGAGGATGAGCTCCAGCATGAGTCCGAAAACTTGGAAGACAAAACCTCTGGTCCTGGTGACTGACCCAGTTTGGATCCTCCAGCATCATGCTAGGACAGGTATATTCACCTTCATTCGTAAGATTATTTTTTTACACAATTACTGATGTAAGTTGGCTTTCTAAAAATACAATGTAACACTAGATTTTTAAATAAATATGAACTATCATCAAATATTACTTACTACTGCTACTACTACTATAGATATTTTTCTAATAGGCAGGACATCCTATGGAGAATATTTTCTCCCACTTACTTTAAAGGTAAAGTTCAAATTACTCAGAAATTCTTTCTGTAGGTCTTTTCCCATATCAACCGCTCAGTCGCCTTGAACCATGAGATGGGTGGCAAATAAATGTAATAAAAATATTTGGCTCTGCCTTGCTTTGGGGAACATGAATGCCTATTAGGCATGTGACCAAGATTTACTTACAAGCTAAAAACTCTTTATCAGGTGACTCTTTTGTAAACAACTAACTGCAAGCTTCTCTGTTATCAGCAAAAAGATTCACCTCCATGCCAAATCACTGGAAGTTTTTAGAGGAAGAAATGAAGCCTCCGGGCTAAGGTATATGTTAGTTCCAATTGGGAAACAGCTCAATTGCTGAAGTTGTTGTAATCCTATCTTTTCCTTCTCAATAAAACTTGCTAATGATTTATAATAATATATTAATAATTATGGTTCATTACACATTAATTGTATTATTTATAGTAACAGACAATAACAGAAAATAGTGAAAAAACATGAGAACCTGGCAGTAGCTACAATTAAATATGCACATTTTCATCTTAATTGTCTAACAATCTGCCTACGTTTTCATTATGCTCTTTTTTTGACTTGACAGTCTGAAACTGGGAAAGCAGCTATCCCCCTCAGACCAGGAATATCAAAATAATTTTCATCTGTCTTCAGAGCAAGTAGGAAAGAATATCCACTGTAAGAAACATTGTATCACTCATAGAAAATGAACTTGCAATGTACTATTTACAAAGGTAAGTCTCATATTTCAAGGGAAAAGTTTCATATAAGCTGTCCTCAACTTACAATTTGTTCAGCAACTGTTCAGAGCACAATGGTACTGAATTAAGGGGCTTACAACATGTACCAAAATTTGGTTAAGATTTGGCCTCTTGGCACTCTATCCGTACTTACAACCACAAGAGCGCTGTTACTCCCACCATTTATGCCCTTTTGGACCTCGGTGTCTCCCCGCTGACTTTTGCTTCTGTTTTCCTCTCTTCCACTGCTGCTGAGGCACACCTAGCCTGGCTGTGTGCTGTATGGTACTGGCTTCATGCAAAGAAAAAGGGATACATTCCCCTACCAAAAGCAGCTTGAATTGAAATAGTACCTGATTCACTGAATTGTGTTTTGAATATTTCAAACAAAGATGGTTTCTTCGCAGATATATCAACATTTTTCTTTTCCATTGCACTGCTAATACAATTAAGAAAGTCTGCAAAATAAAGTGTTCTCAAAATTATATTGGTAATTTATCATATTTGACAGAAATTCTATTTTTCTTCTATGGTCACAGCACTAACATCATGAATGAACCAACAAAATATAATCAATGAAAACTGCTGGCAGTCTTTGATGTGTGACGACTATAGTAGTTGATCTTTAAAGAAAATTAAGCCAGACTTTTAATTTAAATTGTTTCAAAATGGTTAGTTTATAAGACTCATTATTCTTATGCAGAATTGTAACATGTTTTTAAGTATGTAACTTCTATCAATAAGTACTGCCACAACAAATACAAAAATATAGAACAAAAATCCTGCAACTACAAGTCTTTTAGAGAAACAAACTGCCTGAAAGCAATGATATTACAGAAATAATCTACATCCTACACTGGATAATAATACTGTAATTTTTCAGACACTGAATGATAGGTCCATATTTGTATACAATCAATAAATCTGAAGTAGATTTTCACAATCAACAAAAAATCTAGACAATGATGCTAATGTGGAAACCAACTCCTGCAACATTCCCAAATTGTACCTACATCTATATCAACAGCTGAAATAAAGGCCCCAAGAGTATATTAAAGAAGTTGGAAGATCCTTCATAGGCGTTTCCTCTAATGGAATATATGCTACCAGCCACTAACAATGCTCCTACCCCTCTGGGTTCTGTCAGGTCAAATGGTGGAAACTTTTTCTAAAATAATTAAGGGTAACAAGTTTAAGATCAGATCACTTTTCCAAATAAAAAAATGCTATTTTAGAACAAAAAAACAAAAAACAAAAAACACAAGGCAAAATTGAGCAAAAGATTCCTGAACCTGGATACATTACAACCAGGCTATCACATGTCAACAAACATGTTTTCAGTACAATTATATAAGTAAAAGGTACGTATAAATCTTTCCTACATGCAACCTGCATCTGGATAACTAACCTACCTTCAATTCCATTCTCTCCCCTCATCTCATTTCAATATAAAGTCAATTCCAGTTTGAACTCTGCAAAGGTGAGTTGTTGCTCAGATAAGCTTTTAACAAAATATGTTTGTCAGAAAGGAGCTATCAGACTGGCAAAGGAAATGAATGTAGATGGAATAGAGTTCCAAAGACTTCCTCATATTCGTTAAACTAGTAACAAATAGTCAGGATTTAACATATGCTTAAAACCTTGTGAACCCTCTTGAATTTTTAATATTTCTGCATAAATATGACCTAAATGTGATCTGCTGTCCAAACAAGTCCTAAAATTAGATAACAAACAAATTAGAGAAGTGTCAAAAACATTATACTTGTTCATTTATTGAGGAAAATTATCCAAAGCTACTATTTCTATGTGACAAGAATATGTGAACCTCTGGGATTATCAATTCATTTGAAGGGGAAACTAGCATCAACAGGTGTTTCAGTTAGTGGGATAATAACCAGGTATGAATGTGGGAGGTCCTTTCTTATTTAAAGAATGAAAATGTGGGATCATTGCAACACAAGCATGTAAAAAGTGTGTCATGGCTTGAACAAAGGAGACTTCTGACGACCTCTTTAAAACAGTTAATTGAAGCACACCAGTTTAAGGGTTACAAACTATTTCTAAATTGTTTAGATTCTACCAGTCTGTCAGGTGCCAGGAACACTATGTACAAATGGAGACAACTTAACCTCATTGTTTTTTCCGCCAGAAGTGATCAACAGACCAAGGGCAAGGTGCATAATGCTCTGGGAGAACCTCAGGATGGTGTCAAAGAAATAAAAGTTTCTTGCCTATCTTGAATTGGTGAATGTCAGAATTCATGAGACCACCATTAAGAAAATATTGAACAACAATGGTATGCATGGTAGGGCTGCAAGGAGAAAGTGACTAATCTTTAAAAAAATTGCTGCCCATCTATAGTTTATGAAATACCATTTGCATAAGCCAAAAAGTTATTAGAAGAAAATTCTCTGGATGGATGAGACTAAAAGAGAACTTTTGGCTTAAATAAAAAGATGTTTGGTGAAAGACAACATTGCATTTCAGCATAAGAACTTTATCACATCTATGAAACATGATCGTAACAGTACAGGTACTACCGTTCAAAGTTAAAATGGCACTGAAAAAAGTGACTTATGACCAGTTTTCACATGGCTGCTGTAGCATCCCCATGGTCATGTGATCAAACTTCATACACTTGGCAATTGATTCATAACTGTGAGGGCTGCAAGATCTCAGGGTCCCATGATCTCCTTTTGCTATATTCTGACAAGCAAAGTCAATGGGGAAGTCAGGTGCACTTAACAGTTTATCTAATTTAACAACTACTGTGGTTCACTTAATAACTCTGGAAAGGGCAAACTCACTTAACAAATGTTTCTCTTAGTGAGTTGCGGTCTACCTGTAATATGGTTTAAGACTGATCACAAGAGCTTGCTATCTTAGATGGAACTAGAAATTCTGAATTGTACTCAAAAAGAATTGTGCTAAAAAAAGTTTTTGGAATGGCCAGTAAAGATCCTGATATCAAGTGTAGAAATATGTTAAGGGATCTAAGCAAGCAGTTCGTGAGAGGAAGCCCACCAACATCCCTGAGTTAAATTTATTCTCTAAGGAGGAATGGACTGAATTTTCCAATATCAGGTTTGATGTAGTGGTTAAGGTATTAGCCTAGAAACAAGTCACAGCCAAGTTATTTCTCATAAATTGTTATTTTTAGAGTTTTGTCTTAATCTGCTGGGATTTACAGCAATTCCTATTTTTATGAACCCTTTTGAATTTTCAATGTTTCTGCATAAATATAAACCTAAAACATGAAAAAATTCCAGACCTTCATTTTTGTATATGTAAAAATGTAAATGTTTGCTTTTAGTAACTTATGGGCCCTCTTTGGGCAGCAATAACCAATTAAACATTTCCAGTAACTGTTGATCAAGTCTGCAAACAAACTGGAAAAATTCAGTCCATTCCTCCTTAGAGAATAAATTTAACTCAGGGATGTTGGTGGGCTTCCTCTCACGAACTGCTTGCTTAGATCCCTTAACATATTTCTACACTTGATATCAGGATCTTTACTGGCCATTCCAAAAGCTTTTTTTAGCACAATTCTTCATTATACCCTGTACAAAACAACTATTGAGAATGAAGTAGATACCTCTCCCACCTCCACATTCGCTAACTAGGTTCTAAGAACATAAGCCTGTACAAAACAGGGCTGAATCCAATTGGAGAAATTTGCAAGCCTACTCAACAGCCTATGCCTGTTTTTGCTGCTTTAATGTGCATTTCTTGAAAGTTACAAACTTAGCATAGACAAGAATTTGGTGGTAAACTAGAACTATTTTGACACACAAAAAATTGTATTTCGATGTCTTACTGATTGAGGAATGATGAAATGTTTGTTTTAAAAGAAATAAAACTTTTGAACTACAATGTGCATTTCTTTACAAAGCAGGAAATTAGACTTGAATTATTTAGCCTATTTATCAATTCTATCATTGTTAAGCTTCTATCCTAATATATTTACCTGGAAGTAAATCCTTCTATTTACATAAGATCTATAAGTAAAAAAGTACCCAATAGGGCTTGCCATGGCTACTCAAGTTTTGCAGGATTAAGTGGGCCCCAGTTTGATGAAATACCCGTATCAGCTGTGCTAGCACAACACAGAGCACTAATTTTTGTATATGACGAGCTGGCATAAGCATATAGCCATATATGTATTTTTATTTAAGTCTGTATTTTACCTACAGTAAAGCTATGATCCAATATTTTCTATTTCTACACAGTTGGGAATATTGAATTCAAGTACTAATTTAAGGTACTCTTGAGTTACAGGAATAAATATTAGGTTTGTCCATCACCAGTATAGGGAAAATGAAAATATAATCATAATCATTTTAGAACCAGTTGGTCTAGTGGTTAAGGCATCAAGCTAGAAACCAGAAGCATGCAAGTGTCAGCCTTGCCTGGAGCATGAAGCCAGCTGGCCGACCTTAAGCTGCTTCAGTCCTAGAAAGCAGGCAACAGCCTATATCAGGGCTCTCCAACCTTGGCAACTTTAAGATTTGTGGACTTCAACTCCCAGAGATCCCTCTGGGAGTTGAAGTCCACAAGTCTTAAAGTTGCCAAGGTTGGAGACCCTTGGCCTTTATCACTTTTGAACAATCTTGCCAAGACAGCTGCAGGGACTCGTCCAGACAGTCGACAGGAGTAATAAAAAAAAAAAAACTGACTGGGCGGCACAGAAATTTATGCTCATGTTTACTGAACAGTAACAGAGTTGGAGGGAACCTTGGAGGTCACCTAGTCCAACCCGCTGCTCACGCAGACCTCTACTAGGGATTCGAACCGCCGAACTGCTGCCAACCTTTCTGATCGACAAGCCAAATAAATGATCCAACGGGATGCACCGTCAGCGTCCCTTTCCCTCACACCGCACAATCCCAGCTCTCAAGCCCTGGAAAACCCGACCCGTCTTTCGCACTCACACACGTTTCACCTCAGTGTCTCTCTTCATGGGACAGGGAGTTTCTTCTGACCTAAGAAGAACCTCAGAAGAGCAGCCCTGCGGAAATGTAGTTGAGGGCAAAAATATATATATAATCAACGGATGAAAGGAAGATGGCCAAGCAAAGAAGCGAAGCGCCACCCCGGTATCGCCGGGTTCCAAGTCACCTCAGAAACAACTTCCTCTGAAAAGACAAAAGAAGGCGCCAAAACCCCGCCGACGCATGCGCAGTTTCAGAAGGGGGGAAGCAATCATTTCCTCACAGCTGATTCACTCACAATCCGGAGGTTTTTCGTATATACCGATCGTCCTACAAGGAAATGAAATAGGTCTCCCGCTGGGAACGGTGGAGCCCAGCTCTTGCCTCCGTTTTTCACTGGCAATAAAGGCCCGAAACTAAGAGAAGAGCCAGCGGGAGACTGTAATGGTTTACTCCTGCCGCACTCAAAGGATCATGGAACTTGTGGTTTTTTGTTTTTTTTTTACAAAAAAAAAATTGGCCCGTTCTCGCTCACGAGTTTAAGTAAGGTTTAAAGTATGCCTCAAGCTACGGAATTCTGATAGTTCTGAGACCGGCACATAGTTTCATTTTTTTTCCCCAGGACTCAGGACCTGTTAAGATTCTTCTCCCCCCCCTCTCTTCAAAGCTGCAAACTATCCCATTGAAATATACTCACTTCTTTTATTTACTGTGCATTAAATACAACAATGAAAATCTGAACCTGCAAATGTCTTGTGAAAAAAACTTTATATTTTACAGAATTAACTGATTTTCTATTTATATTCTGCCTTTCTTCCAGGAGTTCAAGACCCAGAGGGCTTTCCCTTCTCCTTGTTCTCCCCAAGGTTGGTTGTCACAAAGGTCCTTTTCCAAAAGGCAATTGAACTTCCTTGATTTTTTCTTAAAAGCATTTCGCTTCATTTCTGAAGAAGCTTCTTGGATGAGAAGCCAAACGTTTTCAAGGGGGAAAAAAATCAAGGAAGTCCAGTTGCCTTTTGGAAAAGCACCTTTGGGACAACCACTACCTGCATAATTGAAAATCTCTAGACACTCTGAAGTTGGTTTTACTGTGTATGACTAGTTCAAACACAGAAAGGTGTGGAATGAGCTCCCCGTGGAGATTCGGACCCTCGCCACCCTTCAGGCCTTCCGGACAGCCATTAAGACCTGGCTGTCCCAGCAAGCCTGGGGTTGAGTTCCCCCCCCCTACTCGAAATTGCTGTGCTTGCTGTGTTTTTAAATCGTTTGTATCGTTGTCCTGTTTTGTCTTACTTTTCTGTATTTGTTCCCCTTCCCTTGTTTTTTGTTCAGCCGCCCTGAGTCCCTTCCGGGAATAGGGCGGCTTACAAATCGAATAAACTCCAACTCCAAAGTATGCTTTTGGGCTTGAATCTGGATGGGTTTGCATATAACGACACACACATTTTTATGTTCATGTGACAAATTCATACAAATTATGCTAAGCCGCAGTATGATTTTGTTTTTCATATTGTGTAAAGTCTGAAGTCATATTAAAACTTAACATATATTAACAACACATATTAAAACTTAACACTCTGCACCATAAACCTAGTTAACAAATTGCAATGTTTAAGCTAAAACAAAACATCACATGAACAATGGGTATTGCATGAACAATGAGCCATTTGTGGTTTATTCTGGGTTAGTACACTATTAACATAGTTAACTGTGATTTCTTCAGTAAAATCGGAAGTTGGGGCCTATATTTTCAACTTGATGGCCTCCACAATATGCCTCATCATTGTATGTTTTTAAAGCTTGTTTTAATTTAAACAGTTAAATATAAAGTTAACATATTACTAACCAATGTCAATCATAAAATTCCACAAAGCCTATTAGAACATGCATATATTCCAGAAAAAGTGTTAAAATACACATGAAAGTAAACAAATCAATGCTACTTGAATTATGTTCACTTGTTTAAAAGATTAACAGAACCATCCAGAGTGGTTGGTGCTGAACAATCTAGCCAGGTTGCTTTCTGACAAATGGGGGATTAGTTGGATTGAGACAGAGGCCCCTTAGTTTTACTGCATTGAGTCAAATTGCCTGGATTCACAGAGCATATTGAATAATTTAACTCTTATTGTTTGGATTTCCATAGCGCACTAAATCACATTTTGACCAAGAGAACCAGTGCTGTTTGGGTAACTATGTTTGTAAAGACTATGGTGCTATATTGCAACTGGGCCAATATTAGTTATTGAATTGCATCTCCAAAATTCAGTTGATATCAATGTGTACTACCTTGGAGTAAATGTTTCCACTCCCTAATATTTTGGTACGACTTAATTTTCGGTAAAGTAACTCTTTATCTTCAAAGGATCTGCTGAATCCTGTTGTAGTTTCATCTTTCCGGTTGCAACCAACTCAATCCAACACCTGTCCGATCCAACATGAAGGGTTCTTGGTTGCAAACATTTAGGGAAAGCGCTTTATAAAAGCAAACTCACATTGTTGTTAGCGAGTCCAAAAAACCCCCGTTAACTCCGCACAACTCCGGTGCGTAAATTTCCAGCGTACTTTACGATCGGCGTATTCAGTGCAACTGTTCCTTAATTAAGGAAGAGGGTTTAATGCTTTTAGCCAGTAGTAATGAGCACTAATTGCAACCGACATTCCTAGGGCCGATAAAAGCGAGGGAGGCAGGAAGCCTCCCCTTAAACCAGGCTCTCTGTCCCGGCATGGAGCGTTTCGTTTATCCGCCTTACAGCGTTTATCAAAGTTATGGAAGCAGCTTTACTCCCAGCCACCACGTGGCCTCGAGGCTACCACCCAAGCAGAAGCAGCCGAGCTGGAAGCAAAGCAAGTGCAGCGGCATCTCCAATCCCTACCAAGGGGTGCTCACGGCCCCCTCCGCGACTCCTCAGGTGTCTTCGCCCGAGTATTTGGACACTTACAAGCGAGCGCAGCTAAAGGCGCTGCTATCGCATGTCAGCCCGGGCCTCAACCCGCGGCTCCGTAAAGGCAACACCAAAGAAGTGGGCGTCCAAGTGAACCCGCGGGCAGACGCTGCGGTGCAATGCTCGCTTGGATCCCGGCCGCTGCAGGCCGTCCGCCCCCAAAGCCCCACGGGCCGGCTCAGCCAGGAGCCGCCGCTCCCAGGCTTCTATTCGCCCGTGCTCGGTCGCCGCCTCTTCACTTTGCCCGAAGCGGCGGAGAACCCGAAGGCGCACCCCGAAGGGCCGGCTTCGTTTCAGTTCATCCAGGAATCCGAGGGAACGTTCGTAGAGAAGGCGGAGGGCGGTGCCGAAGAGAAGGCGGGAGCTGAGGACGATGTGCCGGGGCATGCTGTCGGATACTCTGCCCAGCAGAAGGTCGGAAAAGGGGGCGAGGCTGAGGAAGGCGGGAGTCACCTCGACGAAGCGAGAAAAGGGACCACCTTCCAGGTGAGTGGCGCGGTGGTTTTCCCGCGGACGCTGCGCTTGGTTGGAAATCCCTCCCGCCTCTGCCAGCCGCGCTTTGATGAAAGGTAGAAGGGAAGTTTTTTCCCTTCCGTCAGTGGCGGATTAAGGCTCCCTGGTGCTCTAAGCACTGACAAATCTTGGTGTCCCCCTCCTTTGTACATACTGTACAAATTTTCATTGGCTTTGTGGTGCCCCCTTTGGGCCTGGTGCCCTAAGGACGTGCTTAGTCTGCTTAATGGTTAATACACCATTGTCTTCCGTGGAAGAACTTGGTGTTATCCGGATCCTGGCTTGCCTGGTTTAGCCTAGAGCAGGGTTGCCCAACCTCAGCGTCTTTAGGATGTGTTGACTTCAACTCCCAGAATTCCCCAGCCAGTTGGGAATTGAATTCTGTGAGTTAAGGTAATTGAGGTTGAGAAACGTTGCACTAGCTTCTTCTGCAAGGCCTGAAATTTAAACAAGCCAGTCAACCTGTATGGTGAACGTGCGAATGCAGCCAGCATGTAATAATGTTTGTCACGTTTCTGCCTCCCTACCCCCACCCTGAACACAGGCATGGCTTAACAGTATATTCGCAAGAGATGTTGGGATTAAGAATTGTATAGAATCTGGTTAAATACAGACCCTTTTAAAATACTCCTGTGCATCTGGCTTTGGGGTTTTTTTTACTTTAGTACTTAGGTTTCAGTTAGTAGCCTTTCTCTCTGGGGTAGTACTGTAATTGTTATGTGGGGTAACTTTGCCGCTGAATAAGAAATGTGTATAATGGATATATATGGCTGTGGGAGTAGTACAAAACTGTATTTGGCCAGAAATAATTATCAATATTTGAAGAATGATTTTTTTTCATGCTTGCAGAACAAGGTAAACATATGGGGAATGGGATTATTTTTTCCTCAAATTTCTGCATTTAAAAAGTGTGCTTTAAATGTTATTTTAGTTAATGACTTAAAATAAACGTTTATGATTTAACAATCTTGCAAAACAAATTTAATATTTACTGTTCATGAACAACTTTCCTTTGCAGTTCTTAGAACAGAAATATGGCTATTTCCATTGCAATGACTGCAAGACCAGATGGGAAAGTGCCTATGTATGGTGCATTTCTGGAACCAATAAGGTATGTTTAGGGGAACATTAGAAAAAAATGTTACTGTTTAAGGTGTACATTTCAGAAAAGATTCAATGTCTGGACTGCACAACTGTCTCAAACTTGTAGAATCTTTTTAGGCTCAGTTTTAATTGAACGAGAGGAGCAAACTAAAAGTGATGTTTTAGTGCAATGTTTATTTGTTAACTAGTGACCAACTGCAAATGCTGGAAGCAGTATGTTGGTCTGCAATTCATGATATTCTTGTTCATTTTTTCTTAACATCAGTTATAAGTTACATTTTGATACACAAACTTTGTTTTTTGCTTTGGGTTAAATTGTGCCATGTTAATAGGAAATCATAAAATAATCTGAGTAAGAACTTTTAATGTCTGTTTGGCACAATGAGTTTTGGTTCAGTTGTGCCTCAATGTATAATTTTTTGATGCTACATTTTAAAGATCCTCTGATCTGAGGCTCTCCCGTCTCAAATGTACCACTTTCATTTTTAGGTATACTTTAAGCAGCTTTGTCGCAAGTGCCAAAAGAGCTTTAATCCCTATAAAGTAGAAGCAATTCAGTGCCATGTAAGTAAGACTAAATATTCAGCAACTTCTATTAACACATTAAAGTATCAGAATAAAAATTTTGGGTTTTTTTCTGGCTTAAAATTGCAGTTATTAAAGAACTATTTGATTAATATTGTAATATGCAATACAATTCTCTGAGACAAATTGACTTCCATAAGTAGTCTTCCTTTTACCTCAACAAATAGTGGCAATAAATGTGGAACTTTGAAACTTCTCCTAGAAAGGATATCATTTCGCAGATTTTGGATACAATAGGCACAATGTCAGGTCAGACTACCCATGGAAATTGGAAGTTTGGTGCATATAAACTATAAGGCACGCACTTTTGAACTTAATAGACATTTGGGAAGAGTTAATGAATTTTCTTCCTCTGATGACTGTTCATCAACAAGTATGGATAATTCAGATGCTTTATTTCCGTGTTCTTCAAAGGTGTCAAACTCGTGGCATCACATCATCACATAATGTATCACTTTTTTCCTGTTTGCTAAAACGGGTGGGTGGGTGGGTGGGAGTGGCCAGCGCATGATGCATTTGGCCCACGGGCTGTGAGTTTGACATCCCTGTACTTAATAACCAAACTAACTGGATAGAGAACTTCAGAGGATGATTGTTACTACACTATTAAAAATATAGGTTATGGCCATTTTTAAAACCTTTCTTAATTCTGGTTCAATATGGGTGTAGGGTGCTTATCCTTATGAAAGCATACCTTTGTTTAATGTTACTTGGCATCTGTGGCACATTTGTGCAATAGGATTAACTTGTATCTTAGTTAATAGAATATTTTTCATCTTTTATAGTTCAAACATTTCTAGAAGATCACTAAGTATAATAACAAGAAAAATAAACTTTAGAATAGGTTTTGATTTCTTCTACTAATTAAAGTTTGTTATCCTAAGATCTGTTCAAAGACTCGCTGCTCCTGTCCCCAGAAAAAAAGGCACATTGACCTCAAGAGACCACACCGGCAAGAGCTATGTGGACGCTGTAAAGGCAAAAGATTATCTTGTGACAACACCTACAGCTTCAAATACATTGTTTGATCTGTGCAGTTTGTGTGCTGAGGTTGCATTTAGCTATGCATTTTGTTTCATAATATGGATTTGACTTTAGGATTCTGACTTGGCAATGGATAATGGACTAAAGATGTTTGTAATACTAAAATATATTTGTAATTTATCACTGTACTGCCTAATTAATAAAACTTAAATTCTAATTAAACTTATTTTCTTTGATCATTAAAAAGAGATGGGAAAGCTGACATGCTTTCTAGAAAAGGTGGAAAAGATTAAATCTTGCAAACAATACTATATTCCTGCAATCTTTTTGTAGAAACAGTGATATTGAATATTCTGAATATAAATGAACATATTGAAGTTTGATAAAGATTGAGCAGTTTACTTTCATGTCTACTATGGCATTCTATAAAGACACATGAAATTAAGTCTTAAATCACTGAAGGAAAATAGAATATGGAATAGAATTATATCATAGAGGTAACAATCATTAAATGGAATATAAAGCACAGTAGTCTTCCTGAATCATCAGATGGCCTGTCTATCTTGTTGAAATTAAATGGAAAAATCCCTAAGTATATTAATGGTTAAACTTACTTAGGTATTTTGTATTAATAATGTAGGACAAAGTCAGATTGCTAAAATACTACTTTGAATTTTTGGCGCATGTTAAATTACGTTAGCACTTTTGTCCTAGGAGGGACATTACTCTCAAAACTAATTGGCAAGAATGACTGATTTGGCCTATATTAGAAGAGGTCCATACTGAATTTCATAGCACTGTAGATATGCAATTTCAAGCCAATGTCAAAACAGGAAGAATTTGATAAGATTTGGCCATTCTTCATAGGCAATTGAGATTTTCATATCTATTTCGTATACTAATAAAAAAAAAGTAACCTGAATAGTTGCATGCATAATGAGTTTACCCCCATTTCTGTTGCATTTTAGCAAGGAGGTGTGGAAACGATTAAATGAAGCTTCCATCTTATTTTCAGTGGTTTCGGATGATAAAAATAGAAAAACACATGTTCTGAAGTTGCAAATGGAGTTCAATTAAGCATGATTATGATAGCTATGCACACACGTGTTGACATTTCATTTCAAAAAATGGTTTAAGCCTGTGCTATACAAGAGTTGGTAAGTAGCATAATGAAGAAGAAACATGAACTTCATCCATTCAATTATATTAGGTTTACTAACACTCAGAAACATCTGTTAATCTCTTACAAAGCATTCCTCTAAAGAGAATAGTAACTAAGTGAGTAGGGCAGCACTCAAGTCACACCGTGAAAGAGGCACTTCATGTTAGCTTTCATGAGGGTTAGCTGACACGGACTTGCCACACAAGATTATAAGCAATAATTTTATATTCCATTAATATTCCCCAAATTCATATGATTATGGTAGTAGGCCTTAATCACTAAGCATAAAGCTCGTCTCTTCCAACTCAATATGGAAAAGGAAACCAAGATATATACCTAGCAAATGTTGATTTTATAGTCTGAATGTGAGATACATTATTTTAATCCCCGTTTGAATCATTTTTAGGAAACAAAATTTTAAATTGGCTTCTATAATAAAGGTAGCACAATCCAACAGGAAGCGGTTCACACCTTTAGAGCCCATCTGCTCAATTCTGGTGTTACAGAATAAGTACACTTAAATTTTGCATAACATAATATATTTCGTACAGCTTGATTTTTCCATTACAATTCAAATTAACGCCTTGCTTCTCATATATATGCTCAAATTACTATTTTGAGGAAGGGAGAACAGAGAAGCCTATCAATTTTCACATATTCCCAGAAGCCTTTTCAGCCTGGTTCCTTTCCCACTTGTTTGGATTGTAAGTCCCAGAATTCCAGTATATTCTCTAGTTAGAAATTCTGGTATTAGTGGTCCCAACATCTCTGGAAGACGCCAGATTGACAAAGTTTACCTAGAGAGAACTGGTTCAGCAAGAATACATTAAATTTAAGAGACTTTGTTCAATTTATATCAATTTGTGCAGGTTAATGTTTGGATGCATAGTGAGCACATAAAAGTTGGACTAATTTACATGTTGATTCAAGCCCAACTGAAAAATAACCTGATTTCAAAATATTCTTATAGAATTGTTTCCATATATATTATAACATAAACTCATTACAATTTAATACATTTACACGCTAATGTGTATGTATATACATATATGTATGTTTGCATGTATGTACACATACACATATATAGTCTTTTATACTTGAGATCTGTAATGATCAAAATATTAAAACAAAATTCACAAAAACCTTTAAATGTATTTACAGGGTGAGTAAGCGACACACACAATGTTGGAATAAAAGTGTCTCAAATGTGCAATAACTTACATGCACTTATTTTAACTCTTTACAGCAGTAAGTGCAAAAATTTTTTTGCCAGAAAACAGGAACATATATTACTAATAAGCAACCCCCCACTTGAAAATAGAAAGTAAATCTGATCTGTATTTAATAATTTCAATGTTAAAATCCAAATATACATTAAAATTAAAAGATGCATGTACCAGTTCAAAAGAACTTAAATCAGACGTGATATTTTTCTACAAAATGACAACTTATGTCAGACCAGAATTCTTAATATAAATATACATAAAAGCAACTCTCTAGTAAAAAGCAGCCAAAATCTTTTTTTTAAAAAAACTTCGTCCATTCATAGGTACTTGGGTCTTAATAACAGACCTCTTGAAATAGGATCGAGTACCTTCCAAGACAGTAGCCTAGCAACATCAACAAATGTACTTCATAGCAGCTTATTTTTTCTCTAGTTAGAAGATACAGTAATCATATTTACATACAGTGCACATTTGTAGTCCTTTACAACAACTTTCATATGCAGAGGCTCTCAGCTTTCGCAGTGACAGTCTCAGTATCCTGTCACTAGCTTCATTCTGCCTGTTTTTAATAACTTGGTCAAAGGAATAAATGTACAAAACTAAAAAAAAAATCCTCAAGTGAAGGAGAGATTGCACTTTTGATATCTAAAACTATTTTCTAGAAAGGAAGTCTTGCTCAGTGTAGTAGTCTTTGGTATGTAAGGAAGTCACTTCTTCAGTAGTGAATTGCAGTTGCCCTGTGAAAGTCATTTGGGTGTGTAGTTCAGAACAAAGGATTTGATGCTACCTTTGTCCTTATATTATGACTGCACTCTGAAAACACTGCCCAACTTTTCTTGGAAAATATTGTAAAAGTAACAAGATTGAGTATGACTTGGCCAACTCTTTCTAAAGCTGAAAATGCACTGAACCATCTCATCCCAGCATGGAAGCAATCCCAGCCTGAAAGAGGTAGGGGGCACCAGACTTTTGTCAGAGGCTCGTGCCAGAAACACTGGGATCTGGAAGAAAAGAATTGATCACTCGGTAGCTTTGAGCTCGCCGGATCATGTCCCTGATTTCTATGTTCAACTCCATCAGTTTCGTACAGATTTCGGTCAGGCTTTGGTTAGAGCCTACCAATGCATAAGTACCAGATTGCCCTAATGTTTGGTGCCGGAAGTAAATATTCAGTAGAGTCTGGACTTCATCATCGGAACTGCTTCCAAAAATGTCATTCGGCCATAAATTCCTGCAATGAAACAAAAATATAGGATATGCTACTGAAATGCTGTTTAATGCAAATGGAATCTCATTTCTTTATTTCTGTGGCTATACAATGTAAAAAGGTAAAAAAAACCAACAAAAAACAAAACCAGTGTTATGGATATCACAAAATGAAGAGAAAAAACCTTCAAGTACAAAGGTATTAATTACAATATGTACTGCAATGCATTTAAGAAGATTCTTCTTCAAGGTTTGTCCCTCTCTTTTGAAGGAAGAGAAGAAGCTTCATCATTAGCTAGTAACTTTAAAACTCCTGGCTTTTTGTATAAAGCAAGTTCTTGCTTGACCCATTGGGTTTTACAAGCTAATGCTTCTGACAAAGCAAACAGATATGCTGGTGGGGTTTGCTTTGCTTTTAGTACTATCTCATGTATATCTTCCATGCAAAAGCAGCTTGAAAACCAAGCCATAGATAGTTTAGTGGACAAAACCAGTATGTTCACCACTAAATTGGCAATACTAGAACTTTATTCCTTTCAACATACAAAACTTAATTTGTGATCAAGACAGGTTTTTTTTTCATTTCAATACAGAACCTTCATTTCTCTAAGCAAGGGAAATTGATAATAGACTGTATTCCAAAATTAAGGGAGCACGGTACCTTTTAATTATTTCTCATTTATTAGATTGAAATGAGTCCCTTTAATCTGGATCCATCTATATGCATTCAGCAATCACATTCAGTATTATTCAGTAAAAACATACAGTATTTGATAGCTGCTCTTCAGAGAAAATAGGAAAATATAATACAGTAGCCATCTATTCCAACGTACCTGCATTCTCTTATTTGGTGTAGAGCTTTTCCAAGTTCATTGTTTTTCAGACACTCTAGCATAAATTGAATAGCTATTTCTGTAGAAGTGAACATGGGTTCAGAGGTACCACTTTCTATAATCGATGGATCGAGTGCAATGGCAGCACTAGCTTCCTTAAGGTTTTTCTTTAACTCGCTCAGTTCTCGTGACATATTTATCAGCTGTGGAAAGAAAAAAAACCACAATCATTTTCACCAACGCACATTTTTTTCCTCCCATATAAAAGAGATCAAATTCAAGGACAGGTGAATTATTTAAATTAAGAGGAACAATATCCATATGAAAATTAATTTAATAATTTATGCATTGAAATATATATTTGGTGCATCTTGTCCCGATTTTAAAACCAGGGGAGGAATATAGGATATTTAACAAGTTAAAGAATATTGTAAAATCATCCTTACTTTAAAAAAATGTGATATTAATTAAAATAAAATTTTATTTACCCCATTAAGCTCAATCAAATATTTGGATATGAATCCAACTTTATGGATTTATTAAGATTTTTTTAAAAACCAAAATCAATGCTCTAAGCATTTAATCATGCATTTAATGGGGTGGACTCTGCTTAGCTCCATGACTTCTGGATCATGAATCCCAGATAACACAGAATTATTACCCTTGTATTTTTAACCTTCTTTATATAGCCCACCCTCTATAAATTGAGGTGGGGAAAACTGTGTCAATAATTTTTAAAAATCTGAAAGATCTCATGAGTTTATTAAAGACATCAAACTTCACTTTCCCTTCTTTTTAAAATCAAGGTGGGACAGGTGTTCGCTTTATGATTTCATGAAAGCCAATTATAACAATATGTTATTGTAGACTGCAGCTTACGGCTGCAATGATAGATCACTTGAGTCCATTGATATCAGTACTATTAAATTTAAAAAGCTGTATTGAGATGATTTCAATTTAAACATCAATTCCTTGATGTTTGAAGTCAAGGCATCATCAGCAATTCTTACCTGCAGGTTATATTTTACACTTCTAGGTGGCTAGGTTCTGCTTCATTTTGGACAAAAAATAGAGCAAGAATACCAATTCCAAGGAAAATAATACTATTATTCTGTCACGAAAAGTAGATTCTACCATTTCAAAATTTCATGATAAGCGAATTATAGCTTGAATAATAAATATATAGCAATAGCACTTAGACTTTTAAATTGCTTTTAGTGCTTTTACAGCCCTCTCTAAACTGTTTCCAGAGTCAGCATATTGCCCCCAACAATCTGGATCCTCATTTTACCCACCTAGGAAGGAAGGAAGGCTGAGTCAACCTTGAGCTGGTTAGATTTGAACCAGCTAGCAGTCAGCTGAAGTAGCCTGCAGTACTGCACTCCAACCACCATGCCACCTCACATTTAAATAAGCTATGCTTTTTAAAAACCATGCCCCAAGCCCATTTAAGAGTAGCTCCCTATATTCTTCATGCAGCTTACTGCAATACTATAGTTTCAGTATTAAAATTAGGGTAGGGGAAGTCTTTTCTCAGCCATGAAATTCAACTGAGGAATATTACATTAGTCACTTTTTGCTAATATTTTATTTAACACTCCTGTGGGGGAAATATGAGGTGTAGAGACTGTTGTGCATACCAACTTTAGCTCTTTTTCTCTCTCTGTATAAAAGAGAAGCAAAATGTATATGTAAAAAAATATTGAAACGTTTTCTTAAAATGAGACATTTTCATAAAATAAAATGCTCTAAAGTTTTCTACATTTATAATTTTAAAAGACAATGCTAAATATACAATCTGCAGACCACAATGTGCTGAGGGGCCAATAAAAATATAAGAGTGTGATTGGCACCAGAATTTTCCCATGATTCTGTGATAGGAAATGTGTAGAAAAATTCTAGTGTAGGCATTACAGTTAAAAAACTGGGGGTGGGGTGGATGGAGCAAAAAAGAATAATTAATTCTACTCCTATTAACTTTTCATAATTATTCCTTCCATTATGATTCTTGTCCACCAAAATTTAAATGTTCATTACCAACCACTTAAAATTCACTTGATCTGGTGCAAGAAATAAATATTAATCAGAAGAATACAGCAGTTATTCCAGGAAAAGATTCTTCTGTTTTTTTCTTTTCTTGTTACATACCTCTGGCATTGTACTAACTTCATGCACTTGTCCGATGAGTTTACAGTATGACTGAAAAAGTAACAATAACTGGAAGTGCAGCTTATATAATCTCTGACACAGTTCCAATTGCTAAAAAATAATAATAGTAGAAGAGAGTTACAAGGTGACAACTTGGATTTTTCCATAAGGTGCTTTGCAACAGAAACTAAGAATCAGGAGTTACAAAACAATATGAAGCTATTATGAGTATCTAATGCTATTTCTACATCATTTGTTTTAATGTTTCTTTAGGCTGATGATGAGTTAAGTAGCAGAGCTGCTAAAATATAAGCCTCTATATCAGTTATTCCTGATATAATTTTTTCCACTGCCATGAACACAGTTGCAAGCCATTCTTTCTTACTCCCAAGCAATATGGAGTTAATAATGATGATCTATCTTATATGACTTGAAATGCTGAGTCTTATTAAACTCTATGATGCAGAATCTCTTCATACATCATTTATTTTTATTAAGCTAATATTATCAGAATGACTTTAACATTTCATCTATTTTATCTCAATACAGTGTGCATTCCTTTTACAAATTAATTGTGACAAGAAATGTAAGAACCAGCAAGTTGTACTTTTACTTCAAGTAGTATCATAAACTACATTCTGGGATTGTAAACTATAATTTATTGTGATAGGAAACAGATAAATGCCTCTATATTCTCCCTTTTCTTCTCCCATATGTCCATGCAAAGAAATTTCAAGCCTTTTCTTCCATTTTTATTAATTTTATTTTACTGCTTTGTGTTCGGTCAAAATAATTGTGGCTAATCTTATCTATGTTTTGTTCAAACAACAGAATTTCAAAGCATGGGTTATGAAATTAGATTATTATAAAAATTCTTATGAAAAAAACTATAGTTTAGACATAATTGTTACGGGGTGAAATTTTCAGTTTCCCAGTGGCAGAGCTGATAGTTGATTTCATTGCAAAATCACTTGGTTCATTGTGAAATGGCACAATGGATTCTGGGGTCGTAATTCATTCATAGTTTCATGGAATGACTGACCCCTTGAATAAATAAATAAATTATGGACTCAGATATTCGGAATAGGTAAATAATTTTTATGGGAACTCTTGCTTAAATTGAGCCAAATAAATTAAAATTAAAAGATTTTCTCTATATTTGTTGCATGGTTTACGTATGTTCATGATAATTCCCTAACTTTAAAAATTATAGCAGCTGTTCCTTAAAATTTTCATTTATCTACGTTTTATTTTCATTGAAAGCCTTCAGGATCACCACATAAACCAAAAACCTGAAACTCTGGAACTGTAATATTAGAATTATTGTTGTTGTTGTTTCACTAGCCTTCTCTCTTGAAATCTTATGAACATGGTGTAAGAAAGCCAAAATCTTGGGAGAATTTGATGGTATTGTATGATCTGGACCCAGTTTTATTTTGGAGCCCACTCAAAGAAGTACTTATACTAGGAATTATTGCCCTATAGCTTTTGTAAGTGATTGCAAATGACTACTTTAAATTCTGAAACTCAGTTACTTAATGTCATACCAATCCATGTGGTTGTAGATTATCATTTGTTACTAGATAATAACTCAATATAACAGTAGCCACTTAAAAGCAGTTGAATTCCTCTCTTGCATTATGAACACATATAGTGAATTTGTAACTGATAACTAGATATCTGGTCTTTGAGAGAAATGACCAATTCAGGCTACAAATAACAGTCCTCTCCTATGAAATAATAATGGAGCTAGTTTGCTACAGTGATGGCTGATGAGATCAGGAAACAAGTCACTTTCTTTAATAAAATATTCTATTAGTTTGATTTATTTAGAAGAGAAGCAACTGAGTGTCGTGATAATTAAAGAAGGCTAATATACTCTCAAATAAAATTCATATAATAATTGGAGTTAAATGTGACATGATCAGAATTTATAAACAAAGAAAGCTCCCTTCAAGGAACCTGGGAAACTGTACAGTAAAATAAAATAAAAACAAATGATTTAATAACAATGATTGTACACTGAATAAATAAGAAAGTGAAAAGGGAGAAACATGCTAAGAGTTAAAACAGTGTATTAGTCCATATTTTAATGGACAAAGAATATGAAAAGAATGTTTAACTTACTGCAAGAGATTCCATTTGCTACACAGCAAGCATGGCACAGGAAAAAGGAAAGGAAAGAAAGTAAAGTGTCAGTGTAATGCATGCAACTGGAAAAGCACAGCCATTCCTACTACTCTCTTACTACAATTAGCAGAGCTTATTTTGAATTGCTAAAGTGATTCAGGATGTATCAAGTACACAACATGCATGGCTCAGAAATCTTAATCATAATTGTAAAATCAATAGTTGCAATTCTCTTATAGACCAGAGTGATCTGAAAGAAAAGTAAATCAAATCCCATAATAAGATAATTTGTATTAGAATTGGCCAAATAATATAATATAATAATATAAATCACTAGCTTGTGATTTCCAAAATTTTCATCAGCAAGATGCAACAGACTGGAGGGAAAAGGTCACAAAAACAGGACATTGGAATATTGGAATTATGAAGTCTATGTTTTCATAATCTTAAAATTTCTATTTTAAGAAATTTTTTAAAAGCTGTGGATGCAAATTGATTAGGCTCTTTTAGTATCATGCAGGTTTCAAACAATATTTAGGCGGGTTGAGGTAAGCAAACATATAAGGTAAGTAGGATTGTCCCATTTTTGAAATAGGAGATCAGGTCCAAGTTATTTATAGTATATTCACTGTCAGATTTTTAACAGCACGCTCTGCCACCTACTTATTACAGTTTAGGAGGCGATTTAAAGCTCCCTCGTGTTTTTAGATTATCTTTTTTTAAAGATGGTGATTATATGATTTTTTTAAAATAGATTTTCTGTATGTTGTAATCCTTTTGGAACAATGACAGAATATGCAGCATATACCTTTCTAAAAAGAAAATAAAAAGAAATAATACCCCCCCCCCCATCTCATCTATATTGTGCTTAAAAGATTCTCTAAAATTTATGTACAATTTTGTACTTGCTGATTCTGGTAAAAATCCTCATGTGTGCTATAGATGTTAACTATAGTTAACCTATTTCCGAAAGCCATTTGTAAATTAAGCTATCATTTTAGTGTATTGAGATCTTTAAAATATAACGTGTGATAGGAATATTTTCTTACAATAGCTGAGAAATTAAATTGCCCATAGCATTCAAACCGCTGACAAAACTATCAATATTTGCACTAGAACATGTTATATCCAACCTGAATATGAAAGATTATGATTCTGTGAATCATGAGCCTGTATAATATTTCTTTTTCCTAATAAAAATAGCACCAGTCACTTATTTCAAGAAAGCTCTTTTTCAAACATCTACTCAACTGTAAATAAGGAATACAATATGTGTGAACAATCTACTCTGGGACCATCTTTCCTAGATCAGTGACTCTAATGTCCAATGCCATATTGACCATCAAATAGGACCAGCACTCTATTACTGTAAGAAATGGAGAAAGAGAATGCCCTACCAAGCAAACATTTCTGAAGCTTTGTAGAAAAAAACGAAGGAACTGAAAGATGATTGCTCCTCCAACGATCTCCTGCTTCAGTGATGTTCTCTTGCTATATATGCACTTCAAATCATAATTAATTTGCCATGGAAAGTAATGTTAAGAAATGCAGCATTTATATCTATACAATCTAGCTAAAACTGAAGTATTTGGATATATTTTGATGATAATGATAGGACACAAATCCCAAAATGTATGAGTTTATATACCCAGAAGTACAAAAACATTAAAAATAACATTAAAATGTCATTTTTATTATTAAACTTTTATCTCACTTTTTCATGTATGACTAAGGCAATGAACTTACCTAATTATTATGACTAAAACAGCTATTACATTTACTAATATTATACTAAATTATGATGATGACACTTGAACCTCCAGAAGTTGTCAAAACCTATTATTTTTCACTTAGACATTAATACACCATTTTTAAATTATGTTGCATTAAAAATAAAATATATAATTCTACCACTGCCTACATCCTTCATTGGATAAAAACAATGAATTTTTGGCATTTAAAAGGTTTATCTTAGTAGTATCGCCAGTTGCACCACATATGGGTAACCTTGACTTACAACCATTAATTTAGCAGTCGTTTGAAGTTAAAATGGCACTGAAAAAAGTGACATGACCGTTTTTCACAATTACAGCTGTTTCAGTATGCCTTAGTCATGTGATCAAAATTCAGTCGCTTGGCAACTCACATGTATTTAGGGTAGTTGTAGCACCTTGAGGTCATGTGATCACCTTTGCACCTTCTGACAAGCAAAGTCAATGGGAAAACCAGATTCACTTAAAGACCATGCAACTTAACAACTGCAGTGATTCACTTAACAACAATAGCTTGTAAAATGGGTCAAAACTCAATTAACAATTATTTGCTTAGCAACAGAAATTTTGGGCTCAATTGTGGTCGTACGTCAAGGACTACTTGTACAAATTTGTGTTAAATCTCATACCTTTAAGGTTTGACTATTTTTCCTTACTTAGCCTTTTCTTTATGGCCACCCTGCTTCCCTAGCCAGAATGAACCAATACAACTGTTTGCTGTACAGCATGAAAAATGAATAAAATAATATTGATTTTAAATTACTCAGCAGTATCCTGAAATATCCTAAAGCGGCATATTTGACTGAAAGTTGCCTTGCTGTACAATATTATATAAAAGCACAGCTAAGCATCAGACAAAGTTGTTAGCTGAAATCCACTATAGACAATTATTGGTGAATTAATCATAATGTACTTAATATAGGAAACATTACAGTTTAAGCATTTATTGCTTTAGTTGATACATATAAAAAGTCTTTCCTGTAAAATGCCATTTAACTAGTTCGGTCTGGTTTGGTAAACTAAACATGAAGTCAGATGTGACCCGACAAATGCGCGCCCGACAACAGCTCACCGACAAAACTGCGGTGATAAAACCGCGATGTTGACAGCGTGCCGACGAATGAGCACAGAAGCGCACCAACGAAAGAGCACTGACAGAAGCGCCATTATGGTTAAGGTAAGGGTTAGGGTAAGGGTAAGGGTTACATTTAGGTTCAGGGTTAGGTTTAGGGTTAGGTTTAGGGTTAGGTTAGGATTAGGTTTAGGGTTACCTTTAGGGTTAGGTTTAGAGCGCGCTTCTGTCGACGCGCTGTTGTCAGTGCGCTTCTGTGCTCATTCGTCGGCACGATTTCGAACTCGCGCTTTTCTCCCCGCGGTTTTGTTGGCGCGCTTTTGTCAAGCGCGTATTTGTCGGTGAACCGTCAGATAGAAAGGGATGTGAGATCTGACAGATTTTTGTCAGAGTTTGTCTTATAACCAATATCCCAATTTTTTGCATGACTTGGGGTACCCTCTGAATATTTAATTTAACTAATATAATAATCAGGCAACATATCATCTTCTTTGAATTACTCAATGTAAATGAATGAACACATTCTAATAATGTAATCTTGTCTCCAGAGGGGACACAAAATATAGCCCTGGAATGCTACTTTGGTCTGTGAATTAAAATATATTGTCATTTAGATGGAAAAAGGCATCAGAAATTCAGTTTTAATTACATTAGATAGATTTGGTTAGATTTGGTTAGAAAACCCCCTGATTTGGGGCAAATGGACTTGGTCACTGCCAGGCTATATAAAGCTTATGGCATGCCAGGACAAACCAATAGATCATTAATAAATGCTTTTTCACTAAAATAATTATCACTGGCTAAATTCTCTGAGGGTTGGAAACTAAAAACCTCATTATCTCGGAAAGATAAACATGCCGATGAAAAGTTAAAGCTGAACATTCTCTAATTCCACAAACAAAAATAAGGACAAAGGTTTACTTTCTGTTTCTTATTTTATGCATATGGCCAAAAACTGTGGGAGGAGACCCAGTGCAAAGAGAGAAAACTGATTATGTGGGAAAGTAAAAACAAATATTTTTAGCACTGACTAAACCAATAACACAGGTACATTATGACAGAAGGGAAATTGAAAGAGTAATCTGCAAATAAATCAAGAAACCAAAAGCTATCAAAATCTTCAAAACTTTACAGGGGAAAAATACATTCAAGCTACATGTTGAGCTTTGTAACATTATCTGCAATCTCTAGATCCTGGGAATAAGCTATTTTTTTTCAGTTATGGCAGATATGCTGCCTTCATTCATAATTCTTCTCAATTCTATTGTTTCAAAGAAGCTGAAGTGAAATTCATCTCCAAGCCTTTTGCAAAGAAACTGTCCTACGTTGAGACTAGGAGTGCAATAGGCCATAAGTACTGAGTACTGCTTTGCTTTCTATGCATTGCAAAGAAATACATAAATGCAGAATATATTGTTCAGCCCCTGACTCTGAACATGGTATGTTCCCAGTGACCAGTGTATATTCAGCACTGGATTCACACAAAGACATTAGAATTAACAGTCCATTAACATTAAAATATGTCTTCAATGTTGATTTAAGAGCTTCTTAAACAGGAACATATTAATAGGCCAGAAGAGAAGAGGATGTTATGTCCTATTCCAAGTGGATCAAGTAAAAGTAACTGATTTGCATCACAGAATCACAAGGTTGGAGAGGACCTTGTTAGACTAGGTATCACAGGAATGATGAAATCCTTCGTTTATTATTCATATCTATTTATGTGATAAGTTAGCAGGCATGATCAAACTAGTACTCCCTATTTTCTGGTATGGTACTTACATTATCTGAACATTTCTTTTTAAGTTTATGTGGTTATTTTCAAACTAATAGTGGATTTTAATTCCAGCTAGAGGATTAAACTGCTCAGAGTTGGCAGGCTGGCCTATAAGGCCTTAAACATAATATATACGTACTTAAACAAATTAGGCCATTTATTCCACCTCTTTCCCAAAGTGAATGTAAGCCGAAGTTCTAGATCATCCTTTCATGCTTTTTCAAGTGCTTTTGACTTGAAGGCAAAAAGATGCTTTTGCAGTAAATGAATAATCCTGGAAAAGGCATAACTACTTTAAGGAGTTACGGACCAATGCTACTATATTCACTTCAAGGCCGTTTTTTGCCTTCTGGTCCAAAGTGTGACATAACCCTATCACTAATACATATCTATTTTCTGATTAGATAGCAATGATGTGCAAAATGTTCAAGGGGTTGTTTGCAAAGTCATTAAAGTCGAGGCAGCTTTGAATGGGCTTTCCTGTGTCACCTCTGAGTGCAGGAACAGGCACAGGCCTTTTGTTGCTAATCTCTGTACTGTATATGTACGTGAACAACCTGAAAAAGCCTTTGAAGAGCTGGAGGATGGCTGTTGGAAGACAACCTTCTTCTGGCGGAGGAGGCTGGCCCATTTGAAGATTCCCTTCAAATCCATGCACAGACTCATTAGAGGCATTCTCCCCACAGTTTCTTGGGTGAGAAGCAAAACGTCTTAAAAAAAAAATCAGAAAGTCCTGTTGCCTCTTTAAAAAGCACCTTTGGGATAACCATGACTTGGATGACTGAAAATTTCCATAGAAATGCCTGTTTCTTTTTCCATTATTGGCATTTGATTGAAATGGGAGGCCACAGCAATTAAATTAATAAATTTCCATGATTTTTAGATATGTACATGTACTTTGACATACTGATGGGGATTTGAAGGGAGAAGGGATTTTTCAATGTTCAAACAAACATGGGAATATAAACCTCTCTTCAGCATATATAAGAATAATTCAGAATCTGCTTATATTAAGTTTCATAGTTGCTATGGTATTAGACTGAAATTGAAATCAATACAAGGCACACAAAGATCTTCCTCCAGAAACACCATCATATAACCCAAATTTTTTATTACCTTTTCTTCTGAATCTCCTGGCTGACAAGTGATAACCCCATCTCTTGAACCCCCTGAAAAAGTTGCCTTGCAGTTTGCCAGCCACTGTTTGTAAAAAACAATATATATGTATATATGTGTGTACATACATACATACACAAACACACCCAACACATATTTATATAGGCATTAGCACAGAAGACATACACTTTCAGTTTTTCAAAAATCATACTTTTGAGATAATATATATTTTACTGAATTTCTAAATATTTTCTGGAATAAATCTAAGAAAGGATGCATTACATTACTGAATATAAAATTCTTGAATGAAAATGTAGTAGATACTACATTGTAACTTAATCAAATTTAATCACATTATGATAACTCCAATCCCTAAAGTCTTGTTTACTTCCTAAAATGTTTTAAGTTTTTAAAATTAAAATCTTTAACATACAGTATATTCTGAGAATAATGAATATACATCAGCATTAACTAGCTCTGTGTTCTCCAAAAAATGGTTTACTGATGAACTAAATTTCCTTTCAGATTTTATATTTAAAAGTAAGACAAAATCAACATAAGACAAAACATAACGATCATGCTTACAGAAAGTGTTGCTTCTTTTCTGTTATTATATGTATCCAAGTATTCTTGTAGTTCTAAGACACTAAACTTTAATTTCTCTAGAAGCCCACAAGAGAGAAGCTGGAAAAAAATAAAGATGCTTCAGTGAACATTGTTTCTTTCAAAGACTGGTAAAATTGCTCTCATTGAGTAATGAAAATCAGCAGGGACGATCCCATAAGAATTAAACTCTGGAATGGTCATGAAGAATGGCTTTGTCTGAGGCACAGTGCTTCATGTGAGATCAGATGTGGCAGAGAAACTCTCTGGTCTAGCTCAGGCCTGTTAAACTGGCAGCCTGCAGCCCAGATAAATCACACACAGGCCATGCCCACCCAGACTCCGCAAAGACAAAAAAGCAATTATCATGACGTATCGCAATCGAGTTTGACACCCGTGATCTAGCTGATGAAGATTGTCAGTCATCCTGATAAAGTTGTCTTAAGGCTCATGGAAACTAGCCTTATTTTCTTGTTAGTTTGAAATGTTTCACTGCTCATCCAAGCAGTTTCATCAGTCAGAGACAGTTAGTTAGGCAGAAAATCGTTGGAATGTACCAACTCCTCCTGCAACAACCTCTCCTCCTAACAAACTTGCTCTGATTGGTGAAGCTGCTTGGATGAGCAGCGAAACATCTCAAAAATCAAGAAAATAAGTCCAGTTGTCATGACTCAATCTTCAGACAACTTTACCTGGATGGCTGAGAATGTGCACTGACATATTTTAATGCACTTCAAGGAAGAAATGCCTGAGGTTGATGTGGGAGGAGTTGGTACATTCCAAGCAATCTTTGCCTGATTAACTTGCTGTGATTGATGAAGCTGCTTGGGTGACCAGCAAAATGTCTCAGACTAACAAGAAACTAAATCCAGGTGCTGTGATTCAACCTTCAGACTCTAGTTTAGCCTACTTCATGAAGAAAATGGTTTGGAATTTGAATGGTAGCACTTTGGTGATGTAAGTTTACATTTATGGTCTGACATAGTAGTTCATATAAAAACAGATTTTGGTGATTAAGGCATCTGGATAGAAAGTGGGAGTCAGTTCAAGTCCTGCCTTAGGCATGAAAGTTGGATGATGTTGGGCAGTTACTCATTCTGAACCCAACCAACCTCACAGGCTTGTTGTTGTGGGGAAAATGGAGAAGAAAGGTGTGTTGGATATGTTTGCTATCTTCAGTTAATTGTAAAAATAATAATAAAGATGGGATGCAAATAAATTAAAAAAAATAAAAAATATATAATTATGCAGTAAGGCTCCGTATTATGCAATGTATTTCTAATTATCCAGGGAACAGATTTTCAGGAAAACTGACATGCTGATCATGAAAAGATCTGATGAAATTACACATCCACATAATTCTAATTAACA